ATTTCTATGCTTAATGACATATTCAATGACATATTTTTCTTCACTTTTCATGCCTATATAAAGGACTTGTAATAGATAGGAAAATACACACAATTGAAGAAGAAAATCTCTTCCTTCTCTCTATCTCCATTTCTTGTTCATGTTTTACTAAATTGCTTTTATTTCATAACAACATGTCTTGTTCATGTTTTACTAAGTTGCTTTTATTTTATAACAATTTCAATATATTTCCTTAATTGTTAGGTCAAGACATTGGACATGAAAAGTTAATCTAATCAACCGGGGATGCAAAAAAGTGTGTGATGCTAAACTGAACTCCGGATTGATAAGAAAAAATCAAAAGTACCCCTTATCTCAAATTAATCTCTCGATACATAATTTAATATTTTGAGAGAAAAAATTATACAAAAAATTCTCATACCGAATTCGAGGTGTCATGCTATTACTCCCTCTGTTTTAATTTATGTTAACTTATTTCTTTTTTAGTCCGTGCCAAAAAGAATGACATCTTTCCTTATTTGGAAATAATTTACCTTTATGCAATGATTTATAGCCACACAAAATATATGTACTTCATTCTACACCACAAGTTCAAAAATCTTTTCTCTTTTCTTAAACTTCGTGCCCAGTCAAATGGGTTCACATAAATTGAAACGGAGGGAATATTACTTAGTATTCATATAGTGAAGTCATAATCTTCTTTTCTCCCTCAAATAAAAACTTTATTGGCGTCTCAACATTTCTAATATAAAGCTTATATAGGTTGCAATTGAACTCAACATTTTAAATATGAAATCCTATGAGTATAAATGGACACTTCTTCACGTGAAGCAACTGTATGTCCTTTTCCTACCAAGCTGACTTTGCGCTTAAAAAGACAAATTTACTTTGTTGTATTGTCTAAACTAGCAATAGATCCATAATTAAAGGGAGTGCGATGAAGGAAAAGAGAAATTAATATTAGGATAAAATGAATATATGAACATACAATCATTTGCTGCAGATAAGTGCCAAGTCGTCGTAGATATTATTCCAATTTTAAGTGATTTTTTATTTTGTTTATGGTCCACAATATTTGATATCCTGAAAGTAATTTGTTATATTTCCAATGAGCATATTAAGGTTAATTTAGTCAATTTTATTGTTAATTAATGTTAAAAGATAAAAAATTTAATATGTGTGAAAAGAGTCAAAAAAAATCACTTCATCGGAGGAAGTACTAATTAAAAATAAAGATGCTTGCTTCCTCCATTTAATGAATTTAAAGCAGCTAGCCTATGCCAAAGTACTAAGTATAAATTGTTCAAAAATGTCATATAATAATGGGATCTTTACACTAGTCCTATAATAATTAATATTATTAAAATTAATAATTTAATTACCCCCCACACACATACACATTATGTCTTTCTTGTGAGTATTAAAGAAACTAGCAATAAAGACAAATTAGTTTAACTTTTTTCAATAATGAATCTGTCACGAGTTTCTTGTTATTATGAAACTAAAAAGACAAAATGTATTTTGTCATCTTGAGAGGAAAAATAAGTAGGAGTACTTTATGTCTCGAATAAGTTTCATTCAAGATACGAAAATTTTGAACTTCTAAACTTTATTTTTCTTCTTTTTTCCAGACTATATATGATTGTTATTTTTTTTTTTTTTTGCATCTATAACCAATTAGTTGACTCCCCAATTGTTTTCTCTCAGCAATACTAACTACTAACCGAGTCTTATTTTTAAATTATCTTTTAATTGATCGATCGAGTCTTCTTGTGATTACTCTTGGCTCAATTGAACCTTCTTTATGTAGCCAACAGTGATCACAAGACAACTGTGGGATTCAAACTGTTTAATTTTTCCATTGTGTGTAAATTATAAATGTCAACTATATCCAATTGGGTGTCTAATAGCACAATTTAATCTCAAAAAGAAAACATTTTGCCATTATTATGTCCTCATCCGGGCAAAAGACAATTCGATGCACAAAACATCTCATACTCACGCAGGATCCGAAGAAGGACAACACTCCAGAATATGTAATGTGAACAGTCTAACCTAATGTAAGCATTAATACTGCTTACCCAACTCGAACACGTGACATATAGGTAACACACTCCCACCAAGAAGCCAAGAATTAAAAACAGCCAGCATTTATTATATTTTTATGAAGAAAACGGTAAACAGAACAGTAAATTTAACTAAATTACACCTTGTACAAAAGACAACAAAGAGAACCACTAATCAACGATAATAGTAACATAACAAATACACAAATAAGGAGCAGCTGGCGCACCGTTTTAAATAAAGCTTATAATTTTTTGAAGGAAGTGAGGTTCCTAAAATTTTCCCATGGCTTTTCCCATACAACAGCCAAGTACCTATTGTTGCTACGACCACCGTCGTTGGCGGAGATGACTAGCCGATAATTTGTGCCGGCGACGACTTGGGTTGCTCCCTTCTTCACTCGTTTGAACACCAAATTAGTTTTAGCCTGTTTGTTGTACTCATTCACTGCAAATTTCCCGATCTCCACCACTTGAGGATCCTTTGTGTCAGTTATAGGGCTCCAACCACCTGGTAAACCACCACCGCCGAGTGCGGCGGAGGCGTGGAAGAAGAGGGAGGTGACCACCACGGCTGAGAGAGTCACGGCGAGGATACAGTTGAATTTGAGGGCCATTTTTTTGTGTGTGTTTGTGAGAATTTACTGCAGGGAAAATACAGGTGTGGGTAGTTATGAATATTAGTGGGGTGTGGTTGGAGTAATTAATGAGATCTCGGCACGCGGAGAACGGACAGTGGTCACGTGACTTGCTTCAGGGCGGCCCGATCAACTAAAACTCCCACTATGCACCGGGTTCGAAAATACTAAGTTAGCACAGGGTCCAAAAAAGCGTCGAACCCCAAGGATTGCAGCCGAAATACATAGACTGTTTTCACAGCTCGAATCAGTATTATCTTTATCACATGACAACACTTTTACCAGTTATATCAAATCTCCCTCCAGATTACCCGTCAATTAAGTTTCTAAAAAGTTTCAATCAACGTCACGTCCATGTTCATGTTCATGGGAGTAGTCGTTTGTTTACAACGTATTACATACTTCGCCCCCTTTATACGTCATAATTTCTTCTAACATCTTATTCTTTACACACAATCGAACTATCGTAGGTGAATTAAAGAAGAAATCTATAATTTTGCTAATCATAGAATAACAAAAGTTGTGGTATACTGAAGTACTCCCCGCAGGTTGTTAGAAGTTAGAACAACACAAAACAGACTGTGTCTAATGTAGATTCAGAAAGATAAGGACCCAAAAGTCTAAATAGGGAATTACAAATTCGCCAGTTAGTCCTGGTGTAAGGCTTCAAAGCCAGCAAACCCAGTTTGGATTCAACCAAAGTTGCGAGTTACTGAGCCTTGCTGATATTATGTGCATACAAGTAAAGTAAGACAAAATATAATTGTATGGATGTATTCTTCATCAATAGTCAAATACTGAAAAATTTGTATAATCCGCGGTACCTCTAGTTTTCCTTTAAAAATATCACTTCTTCGAATACTAAATATAATTCCCTAAGCAGAGAACTTTAATGAAAATGCTGGGTCAATTTCCATCACTGTTGTTGTTCATAGATCTGCACATAAGCCTCAGATAATGCAACCATCTGAGGCACAGTTTCTGAAACATGTAGGTCCTGCATTTCGTACCTGCGCGGAGTAGACAAATTGGGTTATTAAAATTATTTTGACAAGTAAATTATCATTATCAAGTTAAGAGGGCAAAAATTACCAAAGTTCTTCAGATTTTCGCTGCACAAATACTCTGTATGATCCTTCTTCTGGCTTGCCACCATGAACGATATTGGCAATCAGATCATACTTTGAGCGCAATTTTCTAATCTGCTTGGGTGCAGGGAGCGAAATATAATCCTTCAGCTCTAAATTCTTCAGAGGGAAATTAACTGCATAAAATATAAAACTTAATAAGTCAAATGATAAAAAAAGAGAAAACACATGCATAGGTAATATTGTGCGTCTAGTCCAGAATATGGATATTCAAGTTCGAGAACCCTTTCGCAATTTACACTCTCTTTTCTTGCAGCGAGGCGGGTAGGGGTGCCAAAATCAGCCCAAACCCATTTGACCCACCCAAACCCACCAAGTTTTAATGGGTTGGGCTGGGCTACATTACAAATGGGTTCTGTTTGGGCACAACCCAACTAAACCCATCTATTTCCAATCGCCCAAAATATTTCTTATACGTTGTCATTTTTTCTTCTTTCTTTTATGACTAAAGCTTGACAGATCATATTGGGCATGAGATATACTTAGTGGCTAACGTTTATCTTCTTCCAACCTAAATTGATGTATGAGAAAAACCATTTTAATACCTTTTATAGTTTCTCATGTTTTATTTTTAGTTAGTAGTGCCACTAGGAAATTGTATCAAATAATATGATTTAGCATTTACTTTTTCTTTGGTTTCAAATATTATAATAATTCTTTGAATATAGATCTTCTGCTGCAAGATTTTATGGTGAAAGACATCATATATTTGAGAATATAAAAACAAGCAGCTTATTACAAACTAGATTATTTCTAAAATTAACTAATTCTTCAAAGGAGATTATTACACTAGATAACAAAGTGTCATTATCTTGAAATTCTATCAAGTGGTCTTTGTTATACTCGTGAAAAAGAGTGTTAATCCTTGCATCTGGGTTAGCTATACTTATTTGTATAAATTTTTTGATTTCTGTAATATGTACGAAAACTTGTTTGAAAATAATTGGTTGAGAATATTTATTAATATCTTCAGGGAAAAACAAGTTGGGCGGGTTCGGCTATGGGCGGGTTCGGCTATGATCCTGTGTTTAGCCCATCTTGACCCAGCTCATCTTAGCCCAAGTAATCTTTGGGCTGGGTTGGGCATTGACCCATTTTGTGATTCAACCCATCTTAACCCGCCCAACTTCAACCCAAACCGTCCATTTGGCACCCCTAGAGGCGGGGCATGGGAGTGTCAGGGTTGTTTGGAGAGTGCTTATTGCATTTTATAAGCACAAGGTAATTAGCTTCATGCCACAGGTACTAGGAGAAGTGAATCAAAAACAAAGCCCTTCAAACACCCCTCACCCCACCCCACCCCCACCAAAAAAAACAAATATATATATATATATAAAATACAAAAGAAAAGAATAATGAAAATGAGAAGCACTTGCTGACATAAAATAGGTCCACATCAGAATCTAATCCTAGCACCATCCGTTTATTTGGCAATCAAAATGAACTGTAAAAAGGAAGGTTTTTAGAAGAAAAACTCGAAGGATTATAGAGAAAAGCTCGAGTTACTGTCTGGACAATATGCACATAGCTGGTTGAAACTTGATCAAATCTTAGATTTGCCTATAGAAACTATATGAATGAACACTCAAACGGATGTTCCTTCTCTTCATTCAGGCCTTTTTTTTTCAGTATAAGCAGATGTGTGTATTTTCGTTTTACTACCACTCTCATCCTCTAGTGTTGGCTAGGGGCACCTTAATGTTCTTTCTTTAAACAATTCAACGGGGTTTCTTGTTAAGTGCACATTCATCTAACTACAGACCCCATAATCATCAACTAAAAGGATGAGTATACAAAATGAATTCAACATACGGTTTCCTTAGTAAAAAGATCCAAGCCTAAGATAACATCAGCAAGCACTTACCAAGGGTGGGGTTCTTCTCCAAAAAGAAGTTGTTCTTGGTAAACCGGCACATGTGAAAAATTAGATATCGTGGAAGCTTTTTGACACGAAATCTCATCCTAGCTATACGAGGGTGCACAACTTCAGTCACAGTCTCACCATCTATCTTCTTCAGTATGTTGAACAGCGGGACCTAGAAAATTTGCAATATCAACAAATCAGTACACAAAACCTATTGTCTGTTGAGAAGTGAATGCATGAACTTTTTCAAGATCATCAAAAAAGCACCCTAAAATAAGTCATACATAAACATGCCTACATCAACGTGAATGGGCACAGGAGGAGAAGAAAATAATTTTGTTGAATAGTTGGATTTCCAGAAAATGATAAATGACCCCCGAGGCAAAGGGCTTATGAAAATAGCCATAGAAGTTCACCAATATGGACACACTAACCTGAGGGATAATGTTTTTCTCCATAAAATCCTTAAAGAGAGGAGGTGGCGGCAAATCAAGCTCAAGCATTAGGAAAGGCACTCTGCTGGTCTCTGAAACAAAATTGCCTGCTTCATTCCCACCATCTTCCCCATTACCATTAATTTGTGAATTCCCACCACTTTCTCTCCTCTCAGCAATAGTCCTATTGTGCATTTCTTTCACAACCTCCAATTCACCCTAGCGGGAAAAAGGAAAATCTTCAGCCTCAAAATGAAATAGAAAACAGCATTTGGAACTGCCTAAAGAAGAAAGAAGAAAACCTGAAAACACTGGCGTATTATGTTGTTCCCTTTTTTTGAACCTCTAAGATCAGCACACAAGGTTTTAAGAAGCCATAACATAAACTCCGCAGGATCAGACCGCACATCTACACGAAAACGTTTTTCACTTGAATCCATAACAGCCTGCAAGAATTCACGTGGGCTCACCTACAGATACAGAGTCGTTAGGCGATGAATCCATGAAAAAGAAGATGAAATTTATGTGTGATAATGCAGGGATAGAACCTGTCCCTTGAAATTTCCTGCATGCCAAATCTTTCGCGTGAGCTCTCCAAATTGATGAACCAGGGGAGATTCGCACTGCTGATAGTTTTCAGGGATTAAAAAGAAGTTTCTAAGAGGAGTTACTCTCATCAAAGACTGAATTGTCACATTAATAAAATCAGTCTTGTCCACGATGTTAAGCCCAACCTAAAATAACCAGTCCAAAAGATTAAAATCACAACTTAAATAGACAATTTATGAAATAATAAATACACATCAAGCATGAGAAAAACAATAAAGATACAGAGTACAGACAAGTTGAAAACCGTTCCTGGAAGATAATTAGACCCATCAAGTGCCCTAGACCATTGCCTTTTTTTGTCAAGCTGTTCAACTTGCTCCAGCGTAAATCTACGAAATAATATCAAGCAAACGTGATCAGCTGATAATACTTGTCAACAGAAAAAGAAAACCACAGTTAATTGATATTGGCATGAATCAACCAGGCAAGGTTGGTGCTGTTTGCTAAGCTGCCCCTCTGTTGTCTCCCACACCAAGGCAAAAAGAGATTCAACAGTCGGCGGCGCTCGGCCTTGTTCACCCTTTCAGCTAAGTATCCCGTTCTAGCTTCTATACTGACCCTTCGACTTTGGTGTAGTTTTAGTTTGTGCTGTTAGCAGGGAGTCTTCTAGACAAACATTATCGAATAGCACCTTTTGATGAGAGATATGAATAAGAAGCTTCGAGAAAACTTGGGATTGAGCTTGAAGGCTTTCACGGATTGATGCCGAGACTAGATTTGAAACTAGACTTGGGTAAAGCCCTGATGCTCGATCTTGGGTCTAAGGTATGGGTCGAATCATGATAAAGAAGGTTGGGTGGTTGTATAATTCCCAAGCAGAAAGTCGTATACTTTAAAAGTAGATGGAGTGATCAAGCGGCCCTTCTTGCACCAACATACATCCAATGGCATAGAGTGATGCGTCAGTATGAACATGACTTGCATGCCTCTGTGGTCAATGGGAGCAGCAAAAGATCAAACCCCACCCCACTCGGTAACTCGGTGAAAAGCAAATTGTAGTATTTAATGTAAAAGTACTACGGAATACTGATTGTGGGATCTAAAAGAATCTTTGGGATTATTTGTAAGAAAATGACAAAAGACACATTTTCAGAATACATGATCAAGTTCTTAGAAACTTAAAAAAATTTGACAATGGAGTTGATAGTACTGGAAAGGGGTGGAGGGAAGAAGCAATGACGGCATTTCAAGTAGTAGTAGTGTAGTACTATCAAACCTTGGATTCAGAAGAAGGCAAATGTCATCAAGCGATGGGTCTTTTACTTCATATCCATCAGGAAGGCAATAAACTTTCTCTGTCTGCACGTTGATATATACGTGGTGCCCTGCTTTGCGACTGTGTGTATATGCATGGGATTCATGACCCCTTCCTTGGTAGTACTTTCCACAAATTAAACATGCATAGACATTAAACTTTCTGCCAGTGACTGAGCATAATTTCTCAAAGTCAAAATCTAAAACCTGCAATGACAAATGAAACAGAAAGGAACAAATAAAAAATATCAGTCACTACGTCAATAGCTCAACCCAAATTTACAGAATTATCAGTGATCTAGTGACCACTGGATAACCAACTTCAACCCCCTCCCCCCCCCCCCCCNCCCGAGTAGCCCAAAAGATCTTTCTTCTCAAAAAACAAAAGATCCTTGTTTACTTGTCAAGAAAAAAAAAGGACATTTGAAAGCTAAAGGAAATAAAGTGGAAGAATAACAAGATACACTCCTAATAGGAAAATATCATCTTAACCAGCTTTTTGATGAAAGCATCTTAACCAACCTTGTCGACAAATAAAATGTACAACCACAAACCAAAGTTTAGCTCTCAAGCTATGATTCACACGCCTATGCAGACAGGCTAACAACATACAGGAAATATCGAAATATCACTAACTAGTGATTCTTCTTTTACTAGCATTATCTATTGATTTTAAGGAGCAAAATTTCTATTTTGACTAGCTAGCCAAGCAGAATTAGAACAGTGATTAGCATTGAAATTACCTGTCTATTAATTGTATCAAGCAAAGGGCAGTCCCTTCTTACTTCACTTGTAAGGTTTTTCTTTCCTTGGCTGACGTCTCTGCAATGATCTTGATCAGAAGGCTGCTGCACAATCTTTAGTCTCTTTCCCCCTACCTCTTTATCCACAATACAATCTTCTATTTCTCTCTTTTTGGTCATTATGTGCAAACAACAAGTATTCACTGCATATAAGAGATCACTTTATTAGTAAATGCTATTCGTATCACAATTTTACCACTAGCATTGGAAAGAACTAGATCGAAACCGAAATAGAAACTAAAACTAGCACTAAGTGCATCAATTAAATATAACTAGGATTCATTTAAGAACTATCTCCATGTTTTATCACTATGAGGGTCAAGCATGTCCATCCATTCCATTTATTCATAAATAACTCATAGCAAGCATGGAAATAAGTAAACTCAAAACCAAGAAAGGAAACACGTCATGATTGTTCGCACCCAAGGGTGTGACCTAGTGATCAATGAAACGAATCAGGGTCCAAATCTTAGCAAAGACAAAAAATACTAGGTGAATTCTACTCAACTGCCTAAGCCTTGGTAGACAAAATTATGCAGTACCTGTGTTGGTAGGACGTAGAATCTAAAACTAACACTAAATACATCAATTTCATATAATTTTGAGTCATTTAAGAATAATCTCCTCGCTTTATCACTATGAGGATCAAGCATGTCCATACATTCCGTTTAATCACAAGAAACTCATAGCATGCATGGAAATAAGTAAAATTAAACCATGAAAAGATATAAGCCATGATTGATCGTTCACACCCAAGAGTATGTCCTGGGGCTAGAGACTAATGAAGTGGACCAGAGTCCAAATCTCAGCAGAGAGGTAACATTATTAGCCATTTTGACATGAAAGAAAACACAATATATGTATTTTTGGTATAGTTTATATCTAAATTTTCAATTTATAAAATTTAATTTATCTAATCCACATTAGCTCCAAAAATTGGTCAAATTGATAGAGAAAAAGTATCAAACAAATTCGGATAGAAGCGTATAACTCGAAAGCAGATTATTATACCTCATAAATTCATAAGGTATTATTAAGGGAAGCAAATACAAGTGCATCTTTTATGCAAATAATAACGCATATTATTTAACTTGTAAAAATTATATAGAACTATATTGTTAGGATCGGGAACCCGGGTAGTGCGGAATTTAGCCAAACAACGGTATAATGACAATAACAAAGACAATGGAAGTTGATAACAACGACAATTAAAGCATATAAAGAAGACACCAATTTAACGTGGTTCGGTCAAAGTGACCTACGTCCACATGCGGAGAGGGGCAATTTACTATAACAATAAGAGTACAAAAAAGAGTACAAAATTAGAATAAATACTCTAATTAATCCCAAATACCATAAGGGAATAATTTCACAAGATCACTCCAAAGAAACAGTTCACACAAGTGCTTCCCAATACTTAACTCTCGTACAAAACACTCTTAATGAACTAACGAAGACTCAAGTGTTGTTGGTGTGTCTAAAATGAACTAATGGTCTTCCCTTTTGTAGGCAAAAAAGTCTTGGGCGTAAAAGAAAGAGATACAACTTTTGCAAATCATGTCCACCACATGATCGCAATATTTTTGGGTCCCAAAGAATATTGCCAACAAAGTTTTCAATTTGTAAAGGTACTTATGCTTATTTATACTTATGTGAGATGTACTCCATTAGCCATAATATTGGCCATAATTACATATACAATTCGTAATTCTGCATTAAAAATAAATGAAAAAATAGGGCTTTATGCCTAATTTCTTACAAACATGAAACTTACAAGCTATGAATGGATTTCGCCGGAGAAAGAGGACGGAAGAGTTCGGCGGAGAAATTCGCTTGAAATACTTCCAACTTCGTCGAAGCTGATCCCGGCGAAGCGGCAAATTGGAGTCTTATTTATATAAGACGAGTATTTACAATTGGAGCTCTATTTATACGAGAAGTAAAAGTCTTGTTTCCCAAGAAAATAATGCTAATTTAGGGATAAAAATTCAAGATATCATACAAAAAATATTCTTTTTTTTATATAAAAATTTATACAAAGGAATGGCATACAAATAATATTATATATAAAACATTTATAGGATAAATAATTTTAAATTATTGTATAGTTTAATCAGTATAATTGAATTACGAGATTCAAACTTCATTAATAGCGTGTCATCTAATTTTAAAAAGTATCTTTAAGTTACCATAATCCACTTTTCATAAACAGTTAAAGATCAACTTAATTTAAAGGTGTAAAAAATTTATACATTAATGTATACATCATTTAGACTCATTATTTAAATTTAATATTCACCTTCTCTTCTCAAAATTCACTTTAAATTCAATGTATTATGTATTTTAACAGGATCAGGTTACTCAAATTAAAGCATGTAGCTCTATTACAAGCATTGATCCGCAAGTTGGAAAAATGGTAGGTACTTCGAGTGACGAACAAAATATGTCTTGGACTTTTATAGAGACGATTCATTATTATTATTATTTTGGTAATTAGAGATTTTATATATCAAGAAAAAAAGAAGTATTTACAACCAGTTCTAAATTCATTCTTCTCAATTGGCCTGCTATTCTTCTAGTGCTTGCACCTTGAACATGTACGTCTTGAACAATCTGTCTCCCAGAGTAGCATCTTCTCTCCTTCTATCCTCAAATATTTGTTGGTTCCTTTATTGCCGGACATAGTATGCACATCTAGCCAAACTCATTTTATAGATCTTTGTCTTGACATTTTTACCATTCATGAACTGGACCGCCCATGCTTGCTCATTGATGGTAGGCTGGAAACTCATGTTTTAATCATATTTTGAACTCTGATTACTGCACTTTACTTGTGATTAAGCTTAAATAATACTCCTTCCATTCCAATTTATGTGAACTTGTTTGACTGGACACGGAGTTTAAGAAAAAAATGAAGACTTTTGGAATTTGTGATCCTAAACAAGACAAAAAGGGGCTCGGAGTATTTGTGTGGTTATAAAAGCTTCTCATTAATGGTAGAATTGTAAGTTTAAGCTAAATTATTACCAAATTTAGAAAGGGGTCATTCTTTTTGGAACATACCAAAAATAAGATAGGTTCACATAAACTGGAACGGAGGGAGTAGTGATTTGCACTAATTACGTGTTTTATACCTTGCAGGACATGATTCTAAGTTAAGAAGATGATGTGGAGCTAAATCGAACAAGTTGGAGCTTTGAAGTCTCAGTAAAAGCCTAAAGAATTAAATCGGAATCGCGTTTGAAGGTCGTGGACCAAGTCTGGAGATCAAAAAGTGCACGAAAGAAATTACTCTGAGAAAATTGCACTATCGCATGGGGGCGCGGAGAGGCGCGGCGAGGCGCGGCGCGGCGCGACAATGCAAAATGGCTTGCCTGACAAAAAATGACAAAAAATCTGCTCTCTGAAAATTTCCACTAGCGCGCCGCAGGGCGCGATGTATTAGTGTATTTTTGCGGTCCAATTTTTTCACTTCGCCTTGGAAAGGATAGTTTCTGGCCCGTTCCTACATGATATAAATAATATAATTTTTAGAGGACTTTTGACCTTGGGAGCTTTTGGAGAGCATTGGAGGCTTAAGGACACAAGAATTCATCTTCCTTCTACGAATTCAATACGTGAATATGGATTGTAATGTCGGATTAATGCTTTCTTATTCTTTAACTCTTTTTGTGATGACTTTTTTCATATATATGGAGTAGTAAACCTTAGGGTTTGACATGATTTGGTGACTTGATTGTTGTTTATGCCTTTATGGATTTGACTACTGATTAATTGCTTGAATTTATTGGAGAAGCTTTAATATTAGTTGTGATTTTATTCTTTATAGTGTTTAATCGAAAGAAGAATATCTTATTGAATATTATTGCACCATATGCCTTAGTTTATTTTGATGATTCTTTGAAGTAATCGAGAGAGCTTTTTGAGTTACTGTTTAAATTAAGATTGAGAAATATTCGCGAGAAGTTTCTCTTAGATCATTCCTACCAATAGATTCTTGCAAGTTTCACTACACTTCACATTAGTTTATTTGAAAGATTTAGATTTAATCGAGAGATGAGTCTGAATCGGAAGTATAAGCTAATCACCTATTGAATTCGTGAGAATCGATAGAACCTCAAGAGTGAAATATAACAGTGTCATATCAAGGATATAAGTCTTCCACCTATTATGTCAAAACCCTTATTCTTCGTCTTGATAATAACCCGTCTTGATCAATTGTTAATTGCTTTAATTTCAATAGTTAATTTTAATTCACATCATTCCAATCAAAGTGTTAATCATCATGAATAATGTTTAACCATAAATTACTTGAACATTATTTAAATCCAATTCATGTGAAAACGATAATTATACTATACTGTCTTTGTCTAGTGAGTATCAATCTCGTGTTGTGTTTTGCGCTCGTCACTCATCCACCCACCCCATTGCATGTCTATCAACACCTTGTCATCTAAGCAATTGATTCCATATTGAAGCAGCAAATGAGCACTTGAAGAACAAGTGAATTACAGATTCGGTTTCTACATAACATAAAGGACATATAATATTACCTGTTACTCCCCATTTCACCAGTCTATCTCTGGTATACAGCCTTCTATGGGCCACCATTCTCAGCAAAAAGATTCATTTTGGGCATCCCATGTTATTACGAATTAATCTCTTCTGTGGTACATTTTGAAACTCCCATCTTAGCTTTATATACAACTTCCTGATAAAGAACTATTGTATATCCATTAGCTCATCAAACGAAATGTCTGTTTGCTCCAAGAACTCCTTGGCTTTAAGGATTTTGGTTATCATCAACGATGTTTGTTTAACACATATTCCCTAAACAGGTTTTTCTTTTATATAATAAGTGTGAACCCATTGAATCCATAATATATCTTTCTTCTTAAAGAGATTCCAGCAATGCTTATATATTGTTGCTTTATTCCACAATGCTATATATGTCATATTTAGTCCACCAGCAGACTTAGGTAAACACAATTTGTCTCAAGATTATAAAATTTTCTTATTTAAATCATTTCTACATGTCCACAAAAACTTCATGCATATAGTCTCAACCAATGTAACAATCTTCTTAGGCAATACCAAAATTTGTAACCAGAAAGTTTGTATAGAAAACAAAATACTTTTAATGAGTTGACTTCTCCATGTATATGACAAGTACTTTGCAGTCCATGAGGTAACCCTTCCAACCATCTTGTCAAGCAAAGGCTACATTGCATTAATGTTAATCTATTGGAACTTAATAACATCTATATTATCTGACTAGAAGTGCTCCTCTAGGGAAGCCCCACAAGTTAAGAATCTTTATTTGAACATCCTCGGGCACCCCTCCAAAGAAGATTGAGCTTTTGGCCTTTTTAACTATCAATCCCGAAGCGAATGAAAACTGCTGGAAACAGTCATACATCAGTTTGACTGATATCACATCACCCCTACAAAATATCAGAAGGTCATCATCAAAGCCCAATTGCACTATCTTTATTTTACTACATTTTGGGTGGATGTTAAAATCCGGTGTTTGTCTTAGGGTATTCAAATCTCTAGTTAAATATTCCATCGCTAGTACAAACAAGAAGGGGATAATGAATCCCCTTGCCGCAGTCCCTTCTTGGCATCAAATGATGTAGTCGGCCTCCCATTAACAAGAATAGAGTAAGACAGTGTCTTCAAGCAACTTATGATCCATTTAACAAATCTATCAGGAAAGGCCAACCCAATAAGTATTTGTTCTATGAACATCTACTCCAAGAAATCATAAGCCTTTTGTATGTCTAGCTTCATCATGCATCTAGGTGATAAACCCTTTCTTCCATACCCTTAACTCGTTCATGCCCCATAATAACGTTGGCTATAATGACTATCCTTAGGACAAAAGCTGGCTGACAGTTATCAATAAGATCATCCATAACTCCCTGTAGTCTACTGGTTAGGATGTTAGAGATGATTTTATATATTGTTGTGCAGCAAGATATAGGTCTAAAGTCCTTGACAATTGAAGTTCTTGACCTTGGGAATTACTGTCATTGACGTGCAGTTTATGGACTTAAATATCTCATTTCTATAAAAAAGTGTAGCACAACCTGTGTAACTTCATCACCTATAATTGGCTAGGCTTCCGTGAAGAAATATGCATTAAGCCCGTCACACTCGGGGGCCTTAGTATCATCAATACTGTTAAGTGCTTGAACTACTTCCTCACTACTAATCAGACTAATTAATTGCTTATGTTGATTTCTGTTAAGTACAACATCATCTTGAATAACTGTAGGATTAATTATGGATAAAGATTCAGTAGATGTGCCCGGAAGACTCCTTTAAAAACCACCACTTCATCCTTTATATCAACTTAAGTATGTAGCAATCCCTCTTGAAGTGACTGTAAATTGCCCGCACACGTTCTTCATGTTAACAAAGAAATAAGTAGAGTTAGAATCCCCTAACGCAAGCCATTTGATTATAGATTTCTACTTGTATATACTCTCCTCAATTGCTCTCCATTTCTCTAACTGTGATCTCAACTCCTTCTCTTATTCTATTAAATTGGCGTGTAACAACTGAGTTCCCATTTGTTGTTGTACCACCTGGAGATTTTTTTTTATGTCTTCTAGCTTCATATCTACCTCCGTAAATTGTCATGTTCAACTTCTTCATATCTTGCTTCACCTCTTTGAGCTTATACCGTATATGCCTCATACACACATTTGTACCAATACTATCCCAGTAATACTTGATTAATGGTAAAAAGTCTTGATGCTCTGCTAGGCAATTGAAAAATCTGAATGGCCTAGCACCCTTCCCCTGTCGCCCTTCAGTAGTAAGTTTTAAAGGGGAATGATTTGAAAAGAAAGGCTTCATCACTATAATTTTCCAAGTTGGCCATAAGTTCATCGATTCTGCATTTACTATAGCCCTATCAATCCAACTATACACATCGTTGTTTGTCCAAGTATAGACCCTACTAGTGTATTGTAACTCAGTCATAGTAGTGTCAAACAAAAATTCTCTAAAATCTCTAACTTCTGCTTCTCGTACAGGAGCCCCAAAGTGTCTATCCTCAGCATACAATATAGTGTTGAAATCACCCATTACCAGCCATAGGCCCTGTTGTCTTCCTGCTATCTCCCTGAGTCTCTCCCATAAACCCCTTCTATCTTGTATTGTGTGGTATCCATATACAACAGTTAAATTAAATAACAAGTTGATTGCATAAATACTAAATCGAAGTGTCATCAGCCAAATCAAACAGGAATGCAAAGTTTGGGCACTTGACATTGTAAATACTAAACATGAATCGGAAATGTTGCGATAGGGTTCGACTTGGATTGATAGAGGCAAAGCCAAGATTTGAAGTTTATGGGTTCAATATTTTAGTTATTCTAAGTTATTAGGTTCTAAATTAAAAATATATACATATTTCATGAATTTTAAAGACAAATACAGAATTTAAACGAAAGCAAATAGGTTCGACCAAACCCCTGGCCGACACTTTAGGTCAGCAATATTATGTAGGAAATATCATGTGATCTGTGGCACAAGGATGCATAAAAGTTTATGAGTGTGTTTAGTACGAAGAAAAATATTTTTCATGGAAAATGTTTTCATGGAAAATGATCGAGCCCGTTTGAATTGACTTTAAAAAAGTGGCTTTTTAGCAGAAATAACTTTTAAGCCAAAAAATAATAAGTTGAGGTTTCCAACTTATTATTTTTGACTTATTTTAAGCACTTTTTAACTTTGTTAAACACTGAAAAAATTATAAAAAACTTAAAAGTTGATTTGACCAGCTTACAACTTGTTTGGATGGTCGTTGCCTACTGTATTGTATCGTATTGTTACTTTAAATACGATATTTGTTTTGGTTGTTACTTAAATCTTATTGTATCGTATCGTTAAATCTGTCGTTACGTAACGACGGAATGTGCCACTTTATGTAACGACCGATTTAGTTTGGTTGCATTGTTATCTTGTCTTTATCTCTCATCTCACCCTTCACTATTATTAAATAAATTTATTTTATCATTTACCCTATCTTTTTATATTATAAATTTATCCCGTATCATAATTTTTCTTTATAATATTGTAAATTTATTTTTCATATTGATGGTGCATGATATAATAAAACAACAGTAAACGATACAATCTATCCAAATATTATATTAATCAAACGATACAATACAATACGATATATTAAGAATGCGTAACAACCATCCAAACAAGCTACTAAAAGCAAATGCAAACAAGATTTGATTTTCTGTTAAAAACTTGCACGAATATCAAGACAAGATTTGATTAATACAAAAAAACTCTCAAGACAAGTGGAGTATATATAATAATAAAATATAAGCGAGAGACGTGTATATAATTAAACATTTGATTACAAAGACTAAGATGATCAGTCAGTATTAAAAGACTTCAATTCATAAGTCATTGACTTGCATGTTTAGACATGGAGTTATCAATCTGTATTTGATTCTTCTTTCTATTGCTGACCTTTCAAATTGTCCTTAGTCACTTATTTCAACTAAAATCTCTCACAAATCTTTCTTTCTTTATCCCAGATCTTTCTTTCTTCACCTATTTCTCAAAAACAAGCAAGTGTTCCTAACAGCTTAATCTTGGTTTGCTGAACTTAAAGGTATGGTTATGTTGAACATCTCTTATTTAATTTCTGTTGTTCTCTATTGGAAATTTACGAGGGTTTTTGTTTTCCTTATTACGATTCAAAGATATACTGTAACAAAGATTCTTCTTTCATTTATTGATCAATTAAGCAAAATATATAATGGATGAGGCTTAGCTAAATCATATACTAGCTAGTTAAGACTAACAGTTCAAATCAACAACAGATTTAGCTGTGTTGGAAAAGTCATGGTAAAAAATATGGGGTGGCAATTTGACCCTAAATCCATTTGACCCGCCCAAGTTTGTGCCGGTCATTGACCCGCCCATTTGTTGAACTCAGCCATCTTGACCCAACCCATTTCCGCCCAAAAAAGATTGACATTTCTGGTGTTTTAGACTAATTGCATCCAAAATTACTGTTTATCAAAATAATTGCTTATTACACACCATTCGATGTTTGACCTTGATCAATGCTTCAAGAATCAAAAGCTTAACATGAATAATTTGTTTTCTTAGTACATCAAGATGAGAATCTTAGTGTTTAAAATAGCTGAAAAGTATTATTTTGGTAACTGGGCTGAGAGTACTATGGTCAATCCACTTGTTTTTCAGTTTCTTGTGTTTTTTTCTACTTCTCCTAATAATGGTTTGTGTACTTTTTATACATCAGACTTGAAAACCTGAAAGGAAGGAAAAGGAAAGATACTTCGGCTTGACTAGTGAGAATTACATAAATGGAAAGAGGAAAACAAAATGAAGGAGAAACAGAGAAAGGGGAAGCAAACAACTCATCGGTAGGTCATACAATACTTATACATATTAAACCCAATATTGGCTTGGATGATTATGCATATAATCCTCAAGAGAAGGCGGAAATACGTCGAAAGCCCCTTAAATTTGCCAGTATATTTCATTTAGACACTCGAACAAAGGCATGTTTTAATTGAGCACCTGAACATATAAGGCTTCTTGATCCTCGTTTAAATTTGCAAGAGGTTGTTTTATATGTATGTTTGAAAGTTACCTCAATTCATCTCTTCTTCCAGAAAATGGTTGTAGAGATTATTTACTAAATCATCAAAAAGGTAAAAGTGTTTCAATGCATGGAGTGACTAACTAGATTGTGACAAATATAAATTAGAAATACTCTTCTTTCTTTTTTTTTGGGGGGGGGGGGGGGAACTTAGTTCACCCTTATTTTGAGTAAACAACCACTTATTAAGATGCTAAGAACATATACATGCAAATTAAAATAAACTATCTTTCTTTAACGCTTGCTTTGTATTTTGAAGCAAAGCCCTCTACAACTATGTTAGTTGCCTGTCTACAATACAGAGTAAAATTTGTCAGATAAATTTGCAGCTTTGAAAATTTGATATTACATTTGGTCTTTTGGCAGGTCTCATCTTATGTACTTCGCAAGGACATTTTCAATCTTCTGGATTTCATAGAGAGGTTAAAGAATGGACGAGATCAAATTGCTCTTGACATGGATCAAATTGAAAAGCTGAAGCTGGAACTGACATTTATGTCGACATTTCTTCAGCTTTCTTGTTCCAATTTGGATGGTTTTAATGCGGAAATGTCTCGCAAAGCACAACAGGTCGATGATCTGGTTCGGTCAGTTTTCTATCAAAGTGGAGATAACATGCTGGTTAAATATGACATGGATCATGTCATTTCTCACGTCCTGGAAAATATCAAAAGTTGTATCAGCTCACCACATTATTCTAAATCAAGTGCCACCATGACTGAGGAGCAGTTGGTTGAACTTTTGGATTCGCTCCTCGTGAATCTCTGTGATCTTCCCAAGCACTGTGTTGAGTTGAAGACTCAATACGAGATAATTCAAAATGTGTGCGACAATATAAGAGATTTCCTTGGGTTAAAAGTAAATGGTTGCATTGAGCATGAGACAATTGAATATGTCTTACCTCAATTTCAACTTATGGCTGAGAGAGTAGGACACTTCTGTTTTGTCCTTTTGACTGATCAACTTGGTGTCTCTCAACTCAGTTTCAAGCTAGTTGATCTACTTGTGAAGATTATTCCTGTTGAACTGGAAGTCATGTACATATGTTCTACAAATTTGACAACTTCAAAGTCAACAGAAGTTGGACGCTTCTTTAAGAAGCTCCTAGGAGCCTCTCCATACATTCTTAGAGAATATTTGTTTAATCTACAAGCGCACATGGTGGCTGTTCTTACTGCTAGCACTTCAGCTCGAAACATTCATGTCATGATAGAGTTCCTATTGATTATTCTCACAGATGTGCCCAAGGACTTTATTCATCATGAAAAATTGTTCGATCTCTTGACACGAGTTGGAGCACTTACCAGGGAGGTATCCATTCTTGTTTGCAACTTAGAAGAGAAATCAAGGGGTGAAGTGAATACCAGTGAAACAAACTGTGGCAGTGTAGACTTGCTGGAGAGTATTGAACTACTGAAGGAAGATCTCAAGCATGTTTTCCTGAAAGCCCCCGAAGACTCATCTCAACTAAGCTTCCCCATGAGTGANGTAGACTTGCTGGAGAGTATTGAACTACTAAAGGAAGATCTCAAACATGTTTTCCTGAAAGCCCCCGAAGACTCATCTCAACTCAGCTTCCCCATGAGTGACGGACCACTCTTCATGACTCTTCTACTCAAAAACTTAAATGACTTGCTCAATTCCAATGCGTATTCAGTTGTTTTAATAAAGCAAGAAATTGGACTGGTGAAAGAAGACCTAGAATTCATAAGACCGTTCTTCACGAATGTTGAGCAAGAATTGAACAGAGATCTCTGGACTCATGTTCTAGATGTGGCATATGAGGCAGAACATGCCATTAATTCAATTATGGTCAGAGATCACGGTCTCTTGCAACTTATCTTCTCACTTCCGGGTAACGTAGAAAAGATCAAGCTTATCAAAGAAGAGGTATCAAAGACGATCCAAAAGAACCAGGGTCTTGTTGTCGTAACATCTCCCAACAAGCTAGTTCAGAGTGGGTTTGAGGAGGAGACAAACTGGATAATAAGGAAGCTCACTAGTGGTCCAGCAACGTTAGATGTCATTTCGATCATTGGCATGCCAGGGCTTGGAAAAACTACTTTGGCTTACAGAGTATATAATGATAAGTCTATTGCTAATCATTTCGATGTTCGTGCATGGTGCACAATCGACCAAGAGTATGACATGAATAAGATTTTGCAGAAAATTTATAATCAAGTCATTGGTTCAGATGCGAAATTCAGTGAGGATTTTGTTGTTGGTGATAAGCTCCAAAGAGAGCTATGTAGAAGGAGGTTCCTAATTGTCTTGGATGACTTGTGGGATACTGCCGCATGGGATGATTTAACAAGACATTTTCCTGAATTTATGAAAGGAAGCAGAGTCATTTTAACAAGTCGAATAATGGAAGTGGCTTTGTATGGAAAACGCTACACTGATCCTCTTCATCTTCGATTGCTAAGTCTAGAAGAAAGTTGGGAATTATTAGAGAGAAAGGTATTCGGAAAAGAAAGTTGCCCTGTTGAACTATTGGATGTTGGATATAAAATAACCAAAAAATGTAAAGGGCTTCCGTTGGTACTTCATCTGATTGGTGGAGTCATTACAACAAAGGAAAAGAATAAGGCTTTTTGGTGTGAAGTTCTAAACAATTTGAATTCCAATTTATTAGATGATTTTGAATTCATGAAGGTTATACAATTTAGTTATGACCATTTATCAGATCACTTGAAGCCGTGCCTACTTTACCTTGCAAGCTATCCAAAGGATGAATATATTGAAATCTCTGAATTGAAAGATTTATGGAGTGCTGAAGGACTTGTGGAACAGACTGAGATGAAAAGTGTGGAAGAAGTAGTGGAGGTTTATTTGGATGAGTTAATTTCCAGTAGCTTGGTAATAGTTTCCGATGAGAGAGGTAGGGCATCGAGTTACCGAATTCATGATCTTGTGCATGATTTTTGTTTGGAAAAAGCTAGAAAGGAAAAGTTGTTTGATTTCATAAGTTCAAGTGCTCCGTCTTCTTCTTCTTCAGATCGGGTGCCACGTGCAATGATCATTCGTTATGACCGACGTCTTTTTCATTTGGATGAAAATTTTGTCCTGTTCAATCCAGAAAAGAAAAATTCCTATGTTAAACGCCTCCTCTCTTTAAAGGTTTCTGATGGGAAGCACAATCATCTTTCCTACAACTGTCACCTAAGACACTTGAGACTTCTTAAAAGGTTGGAGCTGCACAAAATAAGATTGACGTATTCTTTGCTGAATGAAATAGGCATGCTTGTTCATTTGAGGTGCTTAAGGATTCAGATGAAGGCAAAAACACTTCCTCCGTCATTTTCAAATCTCTTGAATCTGGAAACTCTGGTGGTGGATAACCAGGGATCAAACATGGTACTATCACCTAGTATTTGGAGTCTTGTAAAGTTACAACATGTGAGCATGGATAGTTGTTCGGTCTTTGATTTGGATACTGATGAACCAACAATGTTAGAAGAGGACTTAATGTTAGAAAATTTGAGAATATTGTATGGTCTCAAGCTTTCCTCTTCAGGAAACACACAGGATATTTTCAAAAGGTTTCCCAATCTTCGAAGCCTTACATTCACCATTGAGGAACCCTGGCCTTGTTCAGCAGAGCAGATTTGTTTTCCAAGATTGGATATCCTTGATGAACTTGAAGAAGTTCGCGCATATTTTTACCCATGTATACATCAGTGTGATTTTCACTTCCCTTCGAGCTTGAAAAAACTTGTATTGGGGAGCTTTGCTCTGCCATCCAATTCACTGTCAAGAATTGCGAGACTGCCCAACCTTCAAAACCTGAGTCTAGAAGAAGCAATCATCCAGGGGAAAGAATGGAACATGGAAGAAGAAGACACCTTCGAGAATCTCAAATCGCTGACACTGGATAGGGTGTCTTTATCTGAATGGAAGGTTAATGGAGAGGAATCCTTTCCCGTGCTTGAGGAATTACAAATACTAGACTGTACTGAGCTTGTGGAGATCCCGGACAGTTTTGGTGATATTTTTTCATTAAATTGCATCTCACTGTTGGGCAGCCGTCAACTTGAAGTTTCAGCCATAACGATTAAGGAATATGTTGCAGATATGATGGGAGAAGACAAGCTTGAGGTAAAGTGCTACTCGTGAGTGCATGCGCGAGATGGGTCATGGTAGGTCCTTAATTATCTGGGCAAATCTCTGTGAGTATGTCATACGAATTTATTAACTTCATTCGTAAATTAATTTCCTTTTATATTATTTTTGTCCATTGTGGTTAATGCAGTAACTGATTATCAAGTATTACTACGACTTCTGTTCAATTTCCTTTTGTTTTTCCTTTTGTGTGTATAGGTGCTGGTAGACAGCAGAATTATCCTGGAAAAAAGTATCATGTATGTTCCAATTTTTTTCTATTTAGTTCTTACTATGACTATGATTCTTCTACTAACAACTCTGTCACTTTAAAATGCAGAAAATCTCAAATTGTTGTTTTTTCCATGTAGTTTTGAATTGCTATCACGTTTTCTTCAAATGACATATTAGCCTATCGATGGTATAAGGATGCTTACATTTGTCAAATCAGTATTTTCATTTGACCTTGGACATAAACCAAAGTATGGAATGCTTTGACTAAATGGTCAACGGGATGAATCTACTAACAAGTTAATTTGAGCAGTGTAAAAGACATCTTTAAATTTACAAAATATAATATAGTCCAGATTGAAGAGGACCCTTGGCGTAACTGGTAAAGTTGTTGCCTTGTGACCAGGAGGTCACGAGTTCGAGCTAGGGAAACAACCTCTTGTAGGAAGTAGACACTGAAGCATCATCTATCTGTAGCCATAGATGATATCTTAGTGCTTTAGACGGTCTATTAGATGGTATGATCTCTGAACTTCTTTCTTAAACAAGTGACCGATTGGAGGTAATGCATTTGCAGCGAATATAAGAGCAACTGACACAGTTTCCTCTTTTGCCTAATTCAGTGTTTATTGCAAAGAATCATATGCATTCACCGATCAAAAAAAGATGATACACATTTGCTTGGACTATGTGATGCTTGTAAGCTCCTCTCACAGTACTGTCCTCACTTTAGTACTAATTGAGTTTGTTAATGGTAATGCATGGGTTTTTCTTTCAAACAGAAGTTACAAGATTGAAGGGGAGCCTTGGAGCAACGGTCAAGTTATTACCTATAGGTCACGGGTTCGAATCGTAAAATCAACCACCGATGCTTGCGTCAGAGTAGACTGCCTACATCACACCCCTTAAAGGCGGCCCTTCCTTGGACCTTGTATGAATGCGAGATACTTTGTGCACTGGGCTACGAAGTTACAAGATTCTCTTCAGTTCTTGTCACACTCTATACACCCTCTATAGTCTTTGTAATTTTTACTGCTATGCTTCAATACTGAGTGTGGATCGGCACATGCAATTCAGGAAAAACCATATTAAAATATAAAGTGTGTAGAACCAAACACAACATACAGATGCACATAAAGTGAAAAGTTGATATGATGAGGATGATGAAATTCTAAGTGCTAAATTTCTACATATGGAATAGGTATTTATAGAGACTCAACGTGATAACTAATAAGTACTTTTTCAATCCATGTATCCTTTAATATATTGGATGACACATTTTCACAATTAATGTATGTACCCTTTAAAAATGGATATACTTGCCCCCAATATATTGTGTTGGTCTCTAACTAATACCAACAAAGCTCACGTGGGGGACAAAAGGAATCAGTATTTTGTAGCAAATGCCATGTGATTAATAGCACAAGGATTAATAATGGTTTTGTATGTCCAATGGTTTACCTATGCTTACTCCATCAGAGCATATATGTGCGCACCTATTCCAGGTCAGACATGCAGGGTTCGGAAAAAAATCACGGTGTGCTGCAATATTAGTGACCAGAGACGGACCAAGAGGGTTCAGTTGACGAAATATTTTACGGTAGTATTAAAAACTCTGTTTCAAAATCCAAAATAGGTTTATTTTCCTTTTGTTGAATCCACGTGAACCAAGTTGCACCTGAATTTTATGTATGTCCTTCTTTTTAACTTTTTTTCCTTTCTGTTTTACCTTTTGTTCACTTTCAATCTATTTTACTTTGCAATGTATATTTTGTACTTTTTTTCTTTACTCTCATCTAATAAGAATTATTCTTAAATTCATTTACTTTTAAAAAAAAGTAAAACGTAGTGATTTTCGCTCTTTCTTTCATAAATTTGGTTACATATGCAAGTTTAATTTTTGAAATTATTTATAATTTATTGGTTCTATTTTAATCTAGTTATGTTGAAATGTTTATTTGGTTACATGGAATTGTTAATTGGGCCCTTTTCCCTTTTAGCCCGCACAAAAAATTATTTATTTGGTAGACGAAAAAGTGTAAAGTTTTTATATAACATCCAGAATGCATATATATACAAAAAAAATCATATTTTTCGGCTATTATTTTGAGAGTGGCTATACAAAAATATAAGCTCCTTTTCTTTAATAATTGTATTAGTATGTTTGTAACTCTTTATGTGTTGTTGTCTTCATCTCAGTGAATTACAACGTTTCCATGATAAACAAGAAAGAGATCCTAGATTGTTAAATATCTTAGAGCTGAGTAAAAATTTGTATTTGCTAAATATATATTTTTTAAATTTTAAAAGGTCTTTTATTTTTATTGAAGTAAATTTTTTATATTAGATAGAAAAAATATAATTCTTTTAATTAAACATTAAGAGTTTCTCTTAAATATTTTTTATAAAAAAAATCAATAACTAAAGAGCGAACTTCATAATGGCTTATTTTGAGGTGGAGTTATGAAGAGGAAAAAAAGTTGCACATAAATTCACTTGTCGTTCTCAATGCCCTTCATACTATCGTTTTACCGTAGTTTTTCCTTTAACCAGCTTGTATGATACTCTTGGATCTGCTGCTGTTAGTAGTGACTGCTCCCACAGTTTAAACATGTGACATATAGGTTATACATAAATAATTTTACTGTTGCTTCAAAACTCCCGTTCACATATTAAGCTACCTACATACTTAATTTTTTCTTCCCAGGGCGTACGCAGAAATTTTTGTAAGTGGTGTCAAAATTTATAAAAGAATTAGAATAATAACTTTAATTATCATACTTTTAGACAAGAAATAGCCCTAGTGACCTAGTCTAATGGTTTTGTTGAATCTTAAATTAGAATAAAGATCCTAAATTTAATTCTATTTCATCACAATTTTTAACCACAAAAAGCTCTCTCAAATATTATGTCAAGTGATGTCATTTTTTCTTACTTATCCGTTTCCCCACAGTATATTACAACTACAACAACAATTCAGTGTAATCCCACAAGTGAGGTCTGGGAGGGTAGGATGTACGCAGCCTTACCCTTCGTGAAAGGGCAAAGAGCCTATTTCAAATAGATCCCCGGCTAAAGAAAGGACGTAAGAAGCACCTATAGTAAGTAATATCAATACATGATATTTAGAAAACAACACCCAAAAAAGCAAAAAAGAATTTGAAAGAAGCACTAATAGTCAGTAATAACAGTACAAGATATGAAATGATAACAAACTAAGGGTGTACGGAAGGCAAGTAACAACATTGCAAAATATGCGGTAATAGCGAACTAAGAATAAAAGGGATACCAACTAACACCAATACTATTGAACTAGGGAAGACACAGGGAAACGCTCGACTACTTACTAACCTTCTACATAATTTTCAACATTCATACCCTCCTATCAAGGGTCATGTAATCGATTAGCTCCAACTGTGTCATGTCCTGCCTGATTACCTTTCCCCATGACTTTTTTGGCCAACCTCTACCATTCCTTTTATCCCGAGGCCAATCTCTAACACCTCCTGTCTTAGACATCTGTGTTTCTCCTTTGAACATACCCGAACCATCTTAGCCTCACTTTTCACGGGGGACATTCTCACCTTATCCCGAATAATTTCATTCCTAATTCTATGTAAGCCTAACCCAGTAGGCGCATGCATCATCTTATAACATTACAAGGTATGAAATAGCTAAAATGATTTTCTGTTAACAGCTCACACGAATCCCGAGACAAGTGGAGATGATAATGGGTATTAAAAAAAGATTTCAGAAGTCAATGAATTGTACTATTTTATTCTTGCAATTATCAATATCAATATATCTTTATTTGATTCTTCTTTCTAATTGGTAGCCTTTCAAGTTGTCTTTAGCCAACCCCTTCTACTTCTCTCTCACAGATCTTTCTTTCTGAATCCCAGCGCTTACTGTCTTCACCTATTTCTCAAATAAGAGGTTCTAATAGCAACAACCTTTGGCCGTTTTGCTCAACTTTAAGTGGTCAAAAGGTAATTCTGGCTATATCTTCAGTAAATTGTTTCCTGCTATATGCTTTATGCTTCTTCCTTCAGTTTCTTGACTCTTGTGTTCTTGTTTTTCTAATTCTCCTAATAAAGGTTTGTTGTACTTTTTATACATCAGACTTGAAAACTTGAACTTTGGCTTGACTAGTGAGAATTGCATACATGAAAAGAGGAAAAGAAAATGAAGGAGAAACAGAGAAAGGTGAAGCAAACAACTCATCGGTACGTCATACAATATTTTAACGTATTAAAACTAAATATTAAGAAGGTTAGCGTCGGCTTAACTGGTAAAATTGCTGTCATGACGTCACTCGTTCGAGCCGTGGAAACAGGCATAAGCTTAGTGCATCGGACTGCCCTTTTTATTAAAACTAAATATTAACTTGGGCGATTATCCATATATTCCATAAGAGAAAGCGGAGTACATCAACATCCCCTTAAATTTGCTCGTATATTTCATTTAGACTCGAACAAAGGCATGTTCAAATTGAGCACTTGAATGTATGATAAAGTGTTCCGATTAGACTTGGCTACTAATTAGGAAGAGATACCAGTGTTGGATCCAAAAACGGATAGTCAGGTAACAATTGTTTACTCCAAATATAAATTCCTATCTTCTTCCCATAACTTTAAATTAAATTTAACACTTTACAAAGTGTTGAGTACATTTCCAAACCATGACTTGTTCATCCCACCATATCTCAATTAATTTACCAACTTTGTGAAAATTCTTAAATACTAAGGAATCATTCTCAAAAGTTCCATCAAAGTTGTAATTAGCCAAAATTAAATACTGGAAATATATGGGGCTTTACATTTTAAACTAAGACAAGTGCAAGAACCGGAACCAGCCAAGTGAGCAGAACTGCAGAAGTAAGTCAAAGATTCAGAAGTCACAGGTTGTTTCTTAACTTTTGTGTAATAACTAATACTTGGCTCATTACACATTTCATAATGTATTCCCTATTGTAATTTCTTGCCAGCACACTCTTGTTGCTGATATCTATATACTTACTTTTAACAATAAATTATAAAAATTCAATATCACAGGATCCCTCAGATAGCATACTGAGTTCCTTTCTGAACTTGATAATTTATAAAACCTAATCAAAGTGAAATTTTGTTCCTACATAAATGATCTCTTCCTTTCAGGATATAATTCTTGCTTTAATTTTTAAGTGTGAAGAAATGGACATTGGGTCTAACTTAACCCCAAAAGCTAGATCATGATGGGAAGATTGCCAAGACCATATAAGGAGATTAACACCCATTCAGGATACTAATGTGGGACTTAACACTCCCTCGCACGCTAGGACTGCACAATTGAAGCGTGCAACACAACAACAGGGATAGATGAGTCTGGATCTGATACCATGTTAGGAAATGAACCTTGGGTCTAACTCAACTCTAAAAGTTAGCTCATGAGGGGAGGATTACCCCGGACCACAATGAGGAGGTCACAGCTGACTTCGTCAATTAATATGGGACTTAACACTATGAAAGGTTTAGACTGGAAAAATGTCCAACTAAGAAACTCATTCAGTTGATGAACCTAGAAGGATTACTATACTTGAGAAACTAAGATCTCACTAGTTTATCTTGCATACGAAATTTTTATATATGGCCTTACCCATCCACATTAGGGCTAATATTTCTGCAAATAACCACAAATTTGACGCTAAACAGGTCACATGTTTATAGCTAAAGCAAAAAACAACCTATATAAACATCATAAAGCTTCTTGATTCTCATTAAACTATGCAAGAGGTAAAGGGTAGCCCGGTGCACAAAGCATCCTGTGTTTACGCAGGGTCCGGCGAAGATCTGCGCCTCAAGGGTGTGATGTAGACAGTCTACCCTAATGCAAGCATTAGTGGTTGCTTCCACGGCTCGAACCCGTATCTATTGTCACATGGAGACAACTTTATCGTTGCAAGAGGTACTTTTGTTTTTTATATGTTTGACAGTTACCTCTATCCGTCTCTTCTCCCAAAAAATGGTTTAAGAAATTATTTACTAAATCATCCATCCCTTTTTAGTGCATACCTTGTAAAATAATTTATCCAAAAAAAAAAATTCACGGAGTAACTAACCAGATTATTGCATGAAAAGATAAATAGAAACTCGATCATACAAAAGTTTCACAAATATAAAATGGATATACTCTTCTTCTTTTTTGGCTAGCTGTTGAACCACCTAGTCAAACGCTAAGGTCATATACAAAGTAAACCATATTTTGAAGCAAGCCCTCTACAACCATGTTAGTTGCCTGTCTAGACTACAGAGTAAAATTTGTCAGATATATATGCGGCTCTGAAAATTTGATATTACATTTGGTCTTTTGGCAGGTCGCATCTTATGTACTTCGCAAGGACATTTCCAATCTTCTGGATTTCATTGAGAGGTTAAAGAATGAAGAAGATCAAATAGCCCTTCACATGGATCAAATTGAAAAACTGAAATTGAAGCTGACAATTATGTCGACATTTCTTCAGCTTTCTTATTTCAGCTTGGATGGTTTTAATGACAGAATGTCTAGCAAAGCACTACAGGTTGATGATCTAGTTGAGTCACTTTTTCATCAGAGTCGAGATGACATGCTGGTTAAATTAAAGGATCATATTGTTCCTCGCCTCCTGGAAACTATCAAAAGTTATATTAATTCCCAACATCATTATTCTAAATCAACTGACACCATGACTGAGGATCAGTTGGTGGAAATTTTGGACGAGCTCCTCGTGAGTCTCCATGATCTACCCAAGTGTTGTGCTGAGTTGATCTTCCCATTAATGACTCAGTACAAGGTAATTCAGAATGTATGTGTCAATATAAGAGATTTCCATGGGTTGAAAGTAAATGGTTGCGTTAAGCATGAAATAGTTGAATATGTCTTACCTCAGTTTCAACGTATGGCTGAGAGAGTAGGACATTTCTGTTTTGTCCTTTTTTCTTATCACCTTGATGTCCCTCAAGTCAATTTCAAGCTAGCTCATTTACTTATGAAAATTATCCCTGTTGAACTGGAGGTTATGCACATATGTTCTACAAATTTGGAAGCTTCAAAGTCGGCAGAAGTTGGTCGCTTCATTAAGCAGCTCCAAGAATCCGCTCCAGCCATTCTTAGAGAATATCTGATTCATCTACAAGTCCATATGGTAACTGTTCTTAATGCTAGCACTTCAGCTCGAAGCATTCATGTCATGATAGAGTTCCTATTGATTATTCTAACAGATATGCCCAAGGACTTTATTTATCATGACAAATTGTTCGATCTCTTGGCACGTGTTGGAGCACTTACAAGGGAGGTATCCATTCTTGTTTGCAACTTAGAAGAGATCTCAAGAAATGAAGAGAATATGAATGAAACAAATTGTGGCAGTCTAGACTTGTTGGAAAGTATTGAACTACTGAAGGAAGATCTCAAGCATGTTTTCCTGAAAGCCCCCAAAGACTCGTCTCAACTCTGCTTCCCCAAGAGTGATGGACCAATCTTCATGACTCTTCTCCTTAGAAACTTAAATGATTTGCTCAAGTCAGATGCTTATTCTGCTGCTTTAATAAAAGAAGAAGTTCAAATGGTGAAAGAAGACCTAGAATTCATAAGATCTTTCTTTGGGAAAGTTGAGCAAAAATTGAATAGAGATCTCTGGAATTGTGTTCTAGATGCGGCATATGAGGCAGAACATTCCATTAATTCAATTCTTGTTAGAGATCATGGTCTTTTGCAACTTATCTTCTTACTTCCCAGAATCATAGAAAAGATCAAGCTTATCAAAGAAGAGGTACAACAGAAGATCCCCAAGAATAGGGGCCTCGTTGTTGTCAACTCTCCCAAAAAGCCAATTGAAATTAGCAAGTCATCAGCAACCAGTCAAATAATTGTAGGTTTTGAGAAGGAGACCAAAGAGATAATTAGTAAGCTCACCAAGGGACCAACTGAGATAGATGTCATTTCCATAGTTGGTATGCCAGGGCTTGGAAAAACTACTTTGGCTTACAAAGTCTATAATGAAAAGTTTGTTGTTGATCATTTTGATGTTCGCGCTTGGTGCACAGTCGACCAAGAACGTAATGAGAAAAAGCTGTTGCAGAAAATTTATAATCAAGTTATTGGTTTGAAAGAAAGATTCAATGAGGATGGCATAGATGATGACGTTGCTGATAAGCTACGGAAACAACTGTGTGGAAAGAGGTACCTTGTTGTCTTGGATGACTTGTGGGATATTGCAACATGGGATGAGCTAACAAGACCTTTTCCTGAATTTCAAAAAGGAAGTAGAATTATTTTAACTAGTCGAATACAGGAAATCGCTGTGAAAGATAAACGCCATAGTGATCCTCTTTATCTTCGATTTCTCACGCAAGGGGAAAGTTGGGAGTTATTAGAGAGAAAGGTATTTGGAGAAAAAAGTTGCCCGAAAGAACTACTGGGTGTTGGTGAAGAAATAGCCCAAAAGTGTGAAGGGCTTCCTTTGGTACTTGATCTGATCGGTGGAGTCATTGCAAGGAAGGAAAAGATAAAGGCTTTTTGGCTTGAAGTTCTAAATAATTTGAAATCCATTAAGAATGAAGTGAAGAAGGTTATACAATTAAGTTATGATCATTTATCAGATCACTTGAAGCCGTGCTTACTTTACCTTGCAAGCTGTCCAAAGGACGAATCTATTGAAATCTCTCAATTGAAGGATTTATGGAGTGCAGAAGGGCTTGTGGAACAGACTGAGATGAACAGTGTGGAAGAAGTAATGGAGATTTATGTGGATGAGTTAATTTCCAGTAGCTTGGTGATCGTTTTCAATGAGAGAGGTAGGGCATCGAGTTGCCGAATTCATGATCTTGTGCATGATTTTTGTTTGGAAAAAGCAAGAAAAGAAAAGTTGTTTGACTTCATAAGTTCAAGTGCTCCGTCTAATTCTTCTTCAGATCTGATGCCACGTGGAATGACGATTCGTTATGACCGATATCTCCTTCCTTGGAATGAAAACTTAGTCCTGTTCAATCCAGAAAAGAAAAATCCTTATGTTAAACGCCTCCTCTCTTTGAAGGTTTCTGATGGGAAGCTCAATCATCTTTCATACAACTGTCACCTAAGACACTTGAGACTTCTTAAAAGGTTGGAGCTGCACAAAATAAGATTGACATATTCTTTGCTGAATGATATATGCATGCTTGTTCATTTGAGGTGCTTAAAGATTCAGATGAAGGCAAAAGCTCTCCCTCCTTCATTTTCAAACCTCTTGAATCTAGAAACTCTGGTGGTGGATAACCAGGGAACAAACATGGTACTATCACCTAGTATCTGGAGTCTTGCAAAGCTACGTCATATGAGCATCGATAATTGTTCTCTCTTTGATTCGGATATTGACGAACCAACAGTGTTAAAAGAGCACTCAAAGTTAGAGAATTTGAGAATATTATATGGGCTCAAGCTTTCCTCTTCTGGAAACACAGAGGATATTTTCAAAAGGTTTCCCAATCTCCGAAGCCTTATGTTCACCATCGATGAACCATGGCCATGTTCAGCAGAGCAGATTTCATTCCCAAGATTGGATGTCCTTAAAGAACTTGAAGAAGTTTGGGCATATTTTGATTGCGCTTCTTTTCGTCAAAATCAGTGGGATTTTCATTTCCCTTCCAGCTTGAAAGAACTGGTGTTGACGAGATTTAATCTGACATCCGATTTACTGTCAAGAATTGGGAGACTACCCAACCTTCAAAAGCTGACTCTAGAAGAAGCAATCATCCAGGGGAAAGAATGGAACATGGAAGAAGAAGAAGTCATTTTCGAGAATCTCAAATTGCTAATATTGGACTGGGTATCTTTTTCTGAATGGAAGGTTGGAGAGGAATCATTTCCCGTGCTCGAGGAATTACACATAAAAAGATGTGATGAACTTATGGAGATCCCAGATAGTTTTGCGGATATTGCTTCATTAAAGTCTATCTCACTGTGGGGAAACCCTCAACTTGTAGAGTCAGCTCATGAGATTAAGGAATGTGTTGCTGAAACTATGGGAGAAGACAAGCTTGAGGTAACGTGCTTCGACTAGTGAGTTAGTGTATGAAATGGGATCATCTTAGGTCCTTATCTGGGAAAATCTGTAAGTATATACAAATTTATTAACTTTTTTCGTAAATTAAGTTCCATCTCAGTATATTTTTTTGTCATATATTTTAACCTGTATGATCTTCTTCGGCCAGAACATCAACCTGTAGAGGCTTCAAATGATGGACCGATCCTCAGACTTCTATTCCTTCTTGCAGCTGTTTCTTATCCATTTCCTTTATTCCATTGTGGTTAAGCATTGTTTTTCCAATTTGGACTTCTGTTCAAGTTCTTTCCTTTTTCTTTTTAGACAGCAGAATTATCCACAAAACAAGTATTGTATTTGTTCCAAATTTGTTCTATTTAGCTTCTTACTCTGACTATGATTCTTCCATTAATGACTCTTTAGTCACTTTAGAGTAAAGGATCTTAAATCGTAGCTTTCTTCCATATAGTTTTGAAATGTTTGATGTTTTTCAAATGACAAATTAACCTAAAAGGGCAACCCGGTGCACTAAACTACCGCTATGCGCGGGATCCCTGCATTTCTACAAGATGATGTTTCTTAACCTACCAATGATAAAAGAATGGTTACATGTAGTTAAATCAGCATTTTGATTGAGACATAAACCAAAATTACTAAAAAAAGAAATTAAAAAAAGGTATACTCACCTTCTGTCTGTTCATTTCTTCAATTATAGCTGGAAGTTGCTTTGATCATTCAGAAAAACATCCATCTTTTAGAAAGTTCTAAAGAAAAATATCAGAAGAAAGAAAAAGTAAAATTGTGAGGATTCATCATAAATCCACAAGAATCCTGGTGATGGACTGAAGTGAAAGGCAATCCCAGACAGAATTAAATACTCACTCCGTTTCAATTTACGTGAATCTGTTTGACTGGGCACGAATTTTTAAAAAAAATAAGGATTTTTGGAATTTGTGGTCCTAAACAAGTCAAAAAAGGGTCAATAGTTGTGTGGTTATAAAAGCTTCTCATTAAGGATGAAATTGGAAATTTAAGCTAAATTGTTTCCAACTTTAGTAAGGGGTCATTCTTTTTCGAACGGACCAAAAAGTAAATAGGTTCACATAAACTGGAACGGAAGGAGTAACCATTTTGACTGCTGGCTCCTTCAAATATATCCATTGCAGGAAACACTGGCACTGTTATATGATACTTTTGAACATTCAAGATTTCACCTTAATTGACAATATAAGGTGAAATAAATTTTATAGCTGATACAGACATTTTTTTCCTCCCCACATGGATAGAAGTAGATATACATGAATTAATTCGAACTCCCATGTGATAGGAAAAAAGTAAGAGGTCCCGAGAAATTTTGATTTGTGGTCAGAGTATTATCAAGTGTGTATTGCCGAGGGTGAACATATTTCTTTTCTGTTATTTTGGCTTTGCAAGTTCCTGATGTGCATTCTGCCCCGTTGTTTTCTTCTGATTATTTGTTTTTAGCCAAACTACTAGCTTCTGTGGAGATGGACGGTGTAGAATCATTCAAGTTGAGACGGACTCTCTGGTTTCTACACAGAAGTTGAATGACTGGGCCTGAGGATCCACATTTCAATGATATCAGAAAGCTTACGAGAAGGGATTGGAGTTTGGAGATGTGAAATCGAGACATATTTGGAGGGAAGGCAATGAAGATTTGTTATTAAGGAAATTGTATGTGATAATGCTCCGATTATATCGTACTTTAGCTATTTTGGTCAAATACTAGAGTACCCAACGTATCACAATTCACCTCTCTTCACCATTGAATATATGAAAAAAGATTAAATTTTTATCCGATTTACACAGTATGTGACCAGGAGGTCACGGGTTCAAGCCGTGGAAACAACCTCTTGCAGAAATGCAGGGTAAGGCTGCGTACGATAGACTCTTGTGGTCCGGCCCCCCTTTTTTTACACAGTATAACTTTCCGACTGAAGTTGAATCCCCTTCTTGGATTCTCAAGATAGCTCAGTTTCTGGACACTAAATTAAAAAAACAAAGACAAATATCCACTTGAAAAGAGAAAGAGAGGGAGAGAGAGAACTCATTGTTAATCAGTCATAGACAGAGCTCAACTTTATTCAATGATTCTCAATAAGTAAGAACCTAACTGCTAAGTTAAATCCTCCACATCATTGAATAAATCAATTGCAGCAGAATGTTCCTTTTTTTTCCCTCTTCTCAAAAACTATCGGACAAGACGGACAAAAATGTTGAAGAATGAAAACAAGAATAGTTTTGGTTGACAAACAATTCAAGCAACATCTTTTATTTATGTTGCCTGCCATTCTTTCTTGATTTCAAATGTGTAGTTGATCTCCAAATAGCACTTGTTATCATCATCAAGGAACTGAAACAAGTAAAAGAGGAAAAAATTTAATTAATATGCATAGAACAAAAATGAAGAGGAAACAACAATATGGGATAAAGTTAGAGATTGAACTTATATACACTGATATTTTAACTTGTTGGAGCACGTACCTTCATTATTTTCCAGGTTACGAATCCCGCTTTTTAGGGAAGGTTATGTGTAGTTATCATTTAGGTAACATAATATGTAAAAATTCATATATATTGCCAGTGCATAGAAGTGAAACTCTAAAGTTAGAGAAACACGTGCAAACAACTGCAGTCACAGTCAGTCCGTAGTATTGAAGCACATAATATTCACCAAATTCAATAAGTGATAGATTTCCTGATTGTTTAGTAACTAAGGTCATGAACAATAACAGAAGAACATATACGTTATGTTGACTCCCCATATTTTCTTCGTCTGTTTACTTTTTTATATTTTAACACCCCGTAGTAAAATTCCTAGCTCCGACACATCTGGCATATATTAAGAGGACCAAGTCAAATAGTAGATAAAGAGTATGTTGAGAGCATGTAATGCCGAAGAAAATCACCTTTGTCCTTGCTGAGTAAGATCCTCTTGCAAACATGCCAGAAGGGGTAGTATCCTCCGGCATTTCGTGTGTATAAGGCTCCAACTGAGGACTAAAGGCCCCAATCATTTGCTTCGTGCTGTCCACTGAAATTAGGTTTGTCAAAAAGGAAGACATTTGATCAAAAAGATGATAAGTAGATGTCTTTAGCAGAACATTCAACATGAGATAGAGACAGCAAAAGTATAGTACCTTTGATACCAGTTTTCCAAACTGTGTTCGTGTATTTGAGCCCAGTCACTATATTATTGCTGACTTGAAATGAGAATTTTAGGCTGTATTTGCTCCCTTCTTTCAGTGTAAACCATGGGCTGTGGGGTTTCCCGTCCTCGGGGATAGGGAGAACAATATCAGGTCTACCAGGAGACTTAATTTCAAGGCTCAAGATCTTCACATCTGGATCCAGGGATTCTACAATTTTAAAGCAGTGGAAAAAAATGTCAGAATTTTCTGTCGAAATGCAACTTACATGAAGGGTCATCAAGATTTTATTTATCTGAAAATGCCGCAGAAATATTCTCAGGTGTCATTGAAGAAAATTGAGTATACTAACGAGAGCAATGTTGAATCGTTTACAAAGTGATTTTCAGACTGAAAAGCTCAGACAATATGCTCTGGAAACTATCAATGTAGTCATATCTCTTATTGTATAACATTGTATATTATCAATATGGAAGTCCTCGATTTAACAACAACAAGAAGATACCCAGTGGGTTTCCACAAGTGGGGTCGGGAAAGGACAGGATGTATGCAACCTTACCCCTATCCTGGGACAGCGGAGAGGCTGTTTTTGATAGACCTTCAACTAAATGGAAGTCCTCGATTCAAATATAACATATTCTTAAGGTACTAACCAAAACATTTACCTGCTGATTAGTCCAAATGAAAATATTCCAACGAAACAGAATCCAGGACATCCTTTTATTTTCTTATGCATGTGCATATACCTTATGGGAATAGATGAAGACACTGCGTTACTTTAAAGCATAACTATAAACTAGCAGACATTTTGCAAGCAGGATCTGAATCTGGAGCTTTAGATCCCGGAAGAAGAAATTAGGAATGTGAAAAATATGAAGTCAACACAATTTGCTGTTTAATATGATAGTCCAAAATGCAATCAAATCAATCAATTGATCAACTATGCCCCATTACCAAAAAATTTTGGGGTCGGTTATACAAATCATCTGCATTCGTTTCGCTTTATTCAGATCCGTTTCATCCTCATACTAAACATATTCCAAAATGCAATCAAGCAAGAGAAACTCAATCATTATATTTTTTATCATGCTTTATGCGCGATAAAATGCAGGGAAAAGAAAGAGGACTATTACTAGAAGCTAGCGTTCCATGGATCACATAAATCTAACTTAAACTTCAATCTGTTTTCTGGGCATATGAAAAAACCATATCATATAATATGTTATATCAAGCTGTCAGTTATTACGAGAGATAGCCATACACAGCATAAACAAGAAAAGCAAGAGATTCTCAGATTTCAAAGGTTAGTTCAAGATATAGTATTAAAAATGTAACCTTAATTTCTATATGTGGATTACCCTTTTCTGTTATGGGCTATGTTTGCTCGGACTTTCAAAAAATGCAGTCAGTTGCGTATCGGATCCTACAAAAGTAGTGCATTTTGGGATTCGGCACGAGAGTAGCAGCATTTTTGGAGAGTTCGCGCAACAAAGGCTATATGTAATTCCACAAAAGGATGCAGCAAATCTTGAAATAAAAGAATGGTTACCTCCAACAGAATTGATATCCACACTTCCAAGAAGCTGCTCCTTCCACCTTCTCAAACTCTCATCATCCTAAAATGCCAAAAATTGCACAAACATAACCACATATTAACCAAAAAAAAAAGACTTTTTTCATTTTTGGCCCGTTGGCCGAAATTAAACATATACACTGATCATGTATATAATGTGTGTATTATATGTATATTTTGAAGGGGAGCCTTAGCGTAACTGGTAAAGTTATTGCCATGTGACCAGGAGGTCACGGGTTCGAGCCGTGGAAACATCCTCTCGTCTGGCCCTTCCCCGGACCCCGCGCATAGCGGGAGCTTAGTGCACCGGGCTACCCTTTTATATGTATATTTGTTATATTGTATGTATGTTTATACTTAATATACAAAACATATATATTTGCAGGTTATTATTTGGAGGGCGGCCCAATAAGGTGTTTATCCAAAAAAAAATTAGGAAACACAAAAGATGCAATCTTTACGATAACGACAACAAACACAATGTAATTTCACGAGTGGGTTATGACGGAGAAAAAGTGTACGCAAACCTTACCCCTACCTTACATTAAGAAGGTTGAGAGGCTATTTCCGAAAAACCTCGGCTCATAAAAAAGATGCAACATTTAGATGGGAAAAATGGAGAAAGGCAGAAAGAAACACCTTATCCTTTTCAAATTGTTCTTTGAGAGTACATTGTGGACCCAACTCAATCTTGTTATTAGTTTCATCTTCCTCCTCATCC